GCACTTTTTCTGTGAATAACTTTAATAGGATTTTTAGCTAAAATTGGCAGAGGGAGGTGGTTAGGAGCTCTAGGAATTAAAATCTATCACTACTTGTGATGACTTTGTTATAAAGAAGTAAAATGTTCCTTATGCAGATAAAATATGGAAATATATATGTAATGTATGTGAATATATATTGTTATATAATTTTAATATGCATGGTTTATAATTAATGTGTGTGTGTGTATATATATATATATAATACCCAAAACTACATGCAGATAGGGTATGGCAAGATATTCAACTAAGAATGTATGTGTGGATTAAGACATTACTCTGAAGAAGTACTGTAGCCTACCAGATTTGCCAATCTTACTTCCTCTTAATTGATTTTGTTTGTTTGTTTGTTTTGAGGAGGGTCTGAACAGTAGAGAAATTTAAGAGGTACTTTATTATCTGAGAGTAGAGAAATGCCTGTGAATGGACTGATTACCTATGATTTCACTGTTAAACCCAGATGCAGTATTTTGTAAGAATCAGATAAATGCTGAGAATAGATAAAATGTCTTAACTTCTCATCTGTTTTATTATTTCGCATTTCGCTCATTGAATTTCATCAATTAATTCTTAAGACAATAAAAGATACCTTGGAGTTTTTACAGGTTACAAACTAAGCCTCATTAGTGCTATTTAATTTTATTGTTAGCCATAATTCAGACAATGGGACTTAAGAGAAAACATGCAGTGTGTGCTGGCGTCAGCAACAGTGTTGACACACATTTCTGCTCTGGCATTTGAATTCTAGTGTAACTGTGAGGCTGCTCAACAGATTAATTACTGGGGTGGTTTTTTTGGTGGCAGGTTGTTTTTCACTTGGTTTGATTTTGGTTTAACTGCTTTACCCATAGCACAACCTCCTTCTCCTCACCCTTTCTCTGCAGGATAAGAGAGGAGAAGAGATTCACTCAGGACCACAGGCTGTGCAGCTGTGCTGGTGAAATGGTGGACTTTGTGGCTGTGCAGAGGGCTTGTGTTGTCACGCTCCTGCTGGTGCTGTTAGTCATGTTGGCGAGACCGGAGCTGGCATGTGAATGTGCCTGTGCTTGTCATACTTGTTGCTGCTTTTGTCTGTGGAAACCGACTTAGGGAGGGGAAGAGCAAGACATTCTCTGCCTGATTTGTCCAGTTATAGGTGTTATCTTTGGAGAGGTGATGATGGAGTACATAAACTGTTTATTGTGTTGTTACCATCTGCTGCCCAACAGACATGGCTTCCCATGGAAACCAGTATTTATTTAAAAGAAAAGAAAACCAGTTACTCATGCAGGCATCTTTCAAAGGTTCTAAACCTTTTCCCCATTCAGTGATAGATCTGTGAAAGAACAAGGAATTGATGATTTTGCTCAGGATTATTAATAGTCTAGAAATCTTAATTTCTACCATATTAGAAGGTTAGCTGGCAACTATGTTGCACAAATTTACTGGTATATGTTGAGGGTGTGTATACACACACACTTTTATTTATATAAAATATATCTCAATCCTTTCCTATACCTTTGTTTACAAAGTAGTCTTTTAAAGTTTTGTTTTGTTTTTATTAGTTGTAGAAAAACATTCCTGTAGAACAATAGGCTGAAAGACAAGGAAATTAAGAAAGGTAGCAGCAAATCTGTTTCAAAATGCAGTCTTTGTTCTAAGGCCATGTTTTAAGTTACGCAGTGTTTAAGGTTTGATGTCTTTCCAAAGGACATTATTTCAATATTAACCATAGTTGGTCAGAAATACTTGTTCTTATCCGAGTGTCCTACAGTCCCTTGTCAGCCTCTGTGAGTAACAGAAGCTGTAAAGCTGACTTTGCTTACTGTGAGAGGATTTTCTGAGAATAGAAAGATGTGACTGTTTCCTCAAGTAGTGCCGCACAATTTGTTCTCCTCTGATGTCCCTCTGTTCCACCTCTCCTTCCTAGGATGTACATGGAGTTCTGTGGTGTTGGGAAGTCCAGCCATGACTGATCTCTCCCTGCACTCCAGCACTCACACCTAATGGCATTAGGAATTGCTGGAAGTTGAAATAACCTTCGAAGCTCTGATTCACCTGAAGTAGCTTGGGGGAGAGAATCTGTAGGCCTGGTTTGTTCTGTTGGTGATGGTTAAGTGGGTGTGTAGGATGGAGTGATGTGCTTTTCCATTTAGGAGCCCAGAGGAATTTTCTGCTTAAGGATTCTCCCCAAGGAAATCCAAGTGTTGCCCTTTGAGTTGATCAGACGTTTGTGAGGGGCTGGATTAGCTGAGTATGTCTGTGATTAAATTGCTTTTCTTTTATCTGACTGGAAGTGTTTAACAGGTCTAATCTCAAATCAACAATAGTGATTAGTTAAGCATGAATGACTCCTGAAATCCCACGTTCTAAGTGTGTCTTAAATTGAAGCTAGTTTTTGTGAAGATGAGCGTTTTAGGGTCAATGAAAAATTTTGCCAGTCCTTTCAGCTGTTGTTTCTTGGAGGTGTGTGTCTTTGTTTATTGTAAATGGAGAACTATCAGTTAATTGTTCCTGGTTGCAACTAATGTAGTTCAGGAACACTTTAGATTCCTGGCTGAAGGACAGTCTGGCAGTTTAATTGGCAGCTGGGAAAGGCTGTGTGGCAGTCGCTGCTGCTTTTGCCACACCTGTCCCTACAATAATTTTTTGAAATACATCTGAAAATAGATTTTAAAATCAGATTTATTTTTTTTTAAAAAAAGCTTTTTAGTCATAATGATGAAATGATGGGAGGAGCTGGTGCAGTGGTATATGGCAGTATGGTTACCTTTGGGCAGTCTCAAGATTTACTGGTGTTTTGGGACCTTTTTCACTAAAAGCTTTATGAGCACCTGAAACCTTCAGTCCTTTTCTTTCTCACTATAATAATATTAGTTCTCACAGGTTGCAGACCAAATAGCACTCATCCTCTCTTTTTTTTTTTTTTGCTTTGATTATTTGTTCATCTTTTAGGTCTTTCACTGTCTCTATCAAAAGAAGAAAATACAAATTTTTTTCCTGAACTCTTTCTCAGAATTTTTTTGTTTTTAATGGAGCAGAATAGCAATGAGCTCATTACAGACAAAGGGGAAATTCCTCAATCTCCTTGTAATATGCTGCTCAGGACCAGCAGTGTGTCTTGTCTGTTTGCAAAATTTAAAAATCTTAACTCCACAGATCAGCATGAATCTGCTGTACTACTTGATGTTCCCTCCTCTTGTGCTAGCAGAACTGACAGCTTGGTGTATATGAGCAGTGAACTGATTCAGCTGAAAATAAACCTGACAGATCATATGGTTAACTCTTAGCTAAATCTGTTTCCAGATTCATTTCACCATATTGTGGAATAAATTC